TGCTGCTTTGAATATGTATTCCCAATAATCATAAACAACACTCATCAATCTAACAAATTAAAATAAAAATCCTGGCTTTATTTGAAGCCCGTGAGTCAATTATGACATCACACAGACTGGGATGGATGTTTAGTTACATGGAAATGCGGTTTATAAGAAAACTAATTTTCTGCAGAATTAAGTCATAAATTGAAGCATTTGTCTTAAAATCTCATTAAACATCATTATGAGCCCAAAACCACTTATTACCTCAATTTACACCCCAAGCATGAAATGAACCTCCATCTTCATTAACCCTTTAAACCCCGATCCAAGAAAAATAGGAAGAATATTGGATTTTTTTTAGTCTGAAGTCTTTCTTTGGTCCCTCAACAACATATGAAGAAAAATAACAGAAATTATTTTGATCAAATTAGCGTGCAGTAAGTCAGAAATCTATGTTGGTGTGGTCTTCTACTGGCTGTTATCAGGTATATCTGAATGTGTACAACAGGGGTTTGAGCAAAGCTTTTACCACTGAATGATGCAAAAAGTCTCAGATCAAAAACAAACCAGATCAGATATGACACATTTGGCTTTATAGGGTTAAGACCCCCAAAAACAGTTTTAAAAGCACAAAAAGCAGCTTTAACCCTTTAAAGCCTGATCCAAGAAAAATAGGAAGAATATTGGACTTTTTTAGTCTGAAATCTTTCTTTTGCCCCTCAACAACATATGAAGAAAAAAAACAGAAATTATTTTGATCAAATTAGCGTGCAATAAGTCAAAAATCTATGTTGGTGTAGTCTTCTACTGGCTGTTATCAGGTATATCTGAATGTGTACAACAGGGGTTTGAGCAAAGCTTTTAGCACTGAATGATGCAGAAAGTCTCACATCCAAAAGACTTCAGAAACCAAATGAATAAAAAAATATAGATATGGTTAGAATGCTGCAAAACCCTAAAACTGAACAGGCACACAAAGGAAAAAACAGGCTAATAAGCTCAGGGTTCAACACCTCCATTTACCTTGATATAAATATAGGCGACAGACATTCAACTGAAGCCAGATTAACGCGATCGAACACAAAAAAAACCTTCTAATAAAAGCAAATCACAACCAAGTACACTTTGGGCTGGTGTTCGTTTTGCTTTCTCCTGCTGGGCTGCTTTGGTAAAATGAAGAATTAAGAGCGCCGCCTTAAATGTGAGACGTAAATCTGATGAATAACTCTCCGGGTCCTAATGAAAGTGTTGTAGTGAAATGATGAGTTTCAGAACAGACGCAATAAGATGCAGAACGTAAATTAGATTAAGTGACTGAGAAATCGTGTTGGATCATAAATCCATAAATCCAGCAGAGTTCTGCTCAAATCTGAGATTTAAGACGAGTTTCTCTTTTTCTCTGTTGTTCTTACCATTAGTTTCTGTGAAGTTTCTCCCCCTCAGTCCAATATTCAAAGAATATCTGAGATGGAAACTGCTTTTCATCACAACTTCTTATCAGCAGTTTGAAATTTAAACACTTTCCCGCAAGTTTTTCTTCTTTATATTTGCTTTCACTTTCCATTAAAACTGTTCAAACATGAG